CATCAAGTTCTTGTTCACTATCAGAACTTTTTGGGTATTCTCCTAATTCTAATTGATACTAATGAAGACAGAAATTGTAGGAATCCAAAAAATGAACGAACATAAAGACGAGCAAGGTCAGGCCGATAATTTCCGATTGAAAAAATTTTTAATAAAATTTACTATGTATACGTTCCATTTTTCTCCCCCCTTTTGAAAAAGGAATGTAATCCACCAAATCAAGTTGGTCTCGCCTTATTACCCGAATTCTGTATATCGACGATATATGAAATCTACAAACTATAAATTGTAAATATCAATAAATAAAATTTTTTATTAAATTATTGGATGCACTATTAAAATCTGTTGTACACAAGTCCATTTTGCTTTCAAAATTACCCCCAGATTCCACTGTCTTTACCATCGTATTTTGCTATATCTCTAGCCCTTCTTTTTTCTTTGACTTTAATATTATTTCTTGTAGAATGCTGCTTATTTTTGGTTTTGTTTTTTGTTGTCTTTTTTAATGATCTTGCGACACGTTCTTTTATGTCTGACTCTGTAAGGCGATTGTTTGTGGAATTTAAAGGCCTTTTAATACTCTCGTAAACTTTATAATTACGATTGTCTAAAGGTTCTGTATCAATTTCAGAATTTACATCATGATTATTTTCTATTGAGATTGATTCTATATCTGCTGAAATATCTTCAGAATCGGTATTCACCGGCTAAAATTAAACGTTTTGTCACAAAATTAATAAAAAATATAATAAAAAAATATATATATTTATATAGAATTGCCAACTATATCAAAAAAGCAGACTACTAACATCTCTATCTTCCAATGATGATACGTCATTAATATTGGTATTTTTCATAGGGTTGCTTTCAGTCTCGGTAGATTCGTCTGTTTCATCTTGAGTACTCTCATCAAGTTCTTGTTCACTATCAGAACTTTTTGGGTATTCTCCTAATTCTAATTGATACTAATGAAGACAGAAATTGATGAATGATTTTACTTACTATATTGTATAATTATATTGTACAAATAATTAAATATATCTATTAAATACCGATTCCAATTCTTGTTGACACTGTTTAGTAAATCCACTTGCGGCAACTTGTACATCCAAACTGAATTCTCGACTTACATCGAACTTAAATTTTGGATACAACGTACTCTCATAATTGAACCTCCTCTTAAAAAAAGTGCGAATACATTCTACGTCACGGTTAAAATACCTAGCCAATTGCCAGCGTTAATTTTAAGAATTATTTTAGTTAAGCAATTACAAATCATATTATTCGTATAAGCTAACCATTCTGCATCAGGATGCGAAGTGGATACCATTTGTGGGAAATCTATTAACACGAGTTCCCCATTTTCTTTCACAAGGATATTGAACTCATTGAAATCTCCATGAATAAGACCGTATTGGCCTAGTCTAACGATTAAATTCATCAAATCAGAATAGAGTTGGCCTGGATCTCGCGCATCGGTTATTTGTCGCCTATACAAGATAAATTAAAGTTAGGTGTATTTAAGAATTATGATTAGTTTTACAAAGACCTTACAATGGATAAGCATCAACTAGTTCCATCACTACACAGTGCCGGACATTGTCGATTGGCTCTGGAACTGGAAATTTATTTTCATATAAAACCTTAAAAAATTTAATTAAATAAATACTATTTTTTCCTTGTACATGGATAGTATAGAACATCTCCGTAATTTACCTTCATAAATGCATATTCTTTCATAGCTGCTAATCTTGACATGTACATCCAAGATGCTGATTTTCGTTTTTGAAGATAATCACGTTTCGATTTTATTGCTCGAAATGAGATTCGGCCAAGTCTAATAAATAATTTATAATTAGTGAGCATTTTAAAATAATTTATAATTAGTGAGTATTTTAAAATAATTTATAATTAGTGAACATTTTAAAATAATTTATAATTAGTGAACATTTTAAAAATGGATTGTCAATAAAAATTTGTATATACCTGTGTATTTTTAAGGCAAATTGATTTTCATTTTCGTCTGCAACAATGTATACATCTATATGGATAAAACTTGCATTAACAATTAACTCCTAAGATTCATTTACAAATTAAAGTTATTCTTGCCTGATTCCTTTCCAACTCCAATTTGATTGCCCACAGAATAAACGCTTCCTCGTTTAGCAAAAGTTTTCAAGGCAAGATAATCATAACCACCATATGTTAATCTATATCCATCATCTGTAAATGATATTTAATTATGAAAATTTGGCGGCATCAAAATGTTTAAACTTTTTGTGATACTTGCATTTTGCATTTGTAACTCTGGAAACAAGATTCTTTTTGGCTAATTCCCCAAGTATTTTATGACTACCACCATGACGTAAACCCGCAATTTGAGCAACAAGAGACGTAGGTACAAGTTCATGATTTTTGGACCCCATTTCGACCTAATTTATGCGACTTAGAAATAATTTGTTCCATTGAAAGAAAAATTTGCAAATTAAAATATCTACAGCTGTTAGAACACGGAATTCTTCCGTATTCATATATCGTAGCATCTTTGCATCAAGCTTCATTGTTGAAATTTATCAAAATTCTGTTCAAATTCTTTTTTCCACACCAGATTCTTGGTCAGGAATATGATCACTTTTCTCGGATACTTTGAACCGTTTATACCAACGACGTAAATTATCACGAGTTAGAAATGGATTGATGAGTAACGTTAACGTTAATTTTGTCTGCGCCTTTATCTAAAAAGTTCACGTGCAGATTGACGATCATTGCACTATCTACGTACGTACGTACACTTTTTTTTTTTTATATCCTTATTTCATAACGATAAAAAAAAATTATGACAAAAGCAAAATTTGGTGGATCTGCTTTAAAACGACTTAAGTCGACGTTAAAAGAAGCTGAGGTAATTGGCCATGGCTCTCGCTCGAACATGAGTAAAAAGCAGAGAAGAAAAGGGAAACCCAAAGATGACAAGAATGACGCTAAAAGCAAACTTGGATTCTTAAAGAATCAACTCAATCCTTTCGAATTAAAGATTACCAAAACTAAGCATAACGTTATAGGTAGAAAAGTGAAAGGTACCCAAGGTAGACCGGCTCTGAAAAGACAAATGGGTATAGAAAAAGTTTGTATATAATAATTGATTTGCAAATTTATGAAAGATGTTATTAAGTTCTATTCAGCTTTATTCTACTTTAGCGAAAGCAAACGCTGCTTGTTGAAATGGAGAATCGGAACAAAGTAGACGGATTAATTGATAAACGATTTGGTGAAGATGATCCAACTCTATCATTGGAGGAAAAAATGTTGGAAAGATTCGTAAAAGAAAAAAAACAGGTATTCAAGTTGGTTTATTTAATCATATGCAATTATTAAATTTAATGTTTCTCATTATTACAAAACCTTAGAGGCATTCAAAATCAACAATATTTAATCTTGAAGATGATGATTTGACGCATTACGGCCAGTCCCTGTCTTTAATCGATGATTTCGATGAACCTGATTTGGCATTAGACGATAAAGAGGATACAGGTAAGCCGTGTCGATACTGTCGAGGTTTCCTTTAAACTCGATAACGATAAATGCAAAATATTTACATTTTAAATTTTGTTTGAATCTTCCATGTTGCTTTAGGCACAATTGATCATGACACTGTCAATAAAGGTCATTTTGGCGGGTTTGAAGACGAACAAAATAATGATGTAATTTTGTTTAATATTACATGTATTTATCTATTAGAATAAAACACGTTAACAAAATTTGATCTACTCTTTTCTATAGGAATCTGAACATAAAAAAAGGTCTAAAACGGAAGTCATGAAAGAAGTTATCGCAAAGAGCAAAATGTACAAGGTTGGCTTTTAACACAACCAATTAAAATTTCATTTTAATTGTACTGTAGTTGAATTAAACGTACTTCTTTGATCAATTAGTACGAACGCCAACTTGAGAAGGAGGAAGACGAACGCATGCGTGATGAATTGGATAATGATTTAGATGAAATCCGAAATCTCATCTCCTTACCAAAACCAAGGGCCGATCCCTTACCTACTCAAGAAGCAGCATTTCAAAATGTTATTTTTGTATTTTATTTTATTTTTTTTTTATATGTATTTTATAATTACTAATTTCTATAATACGTACAGAAATTAAACGGATCTGCGACAGAGACAACTCCTAAGATTTCCGATAAGGACGACACGTATGATAGATACGTACGAGAGTTAGCACTTGACAAACGTACAATACCTACTGACAGAATAAAGTCGGAGGAAGAAATAGCTCTTGAGGAGAAAGAAAAACTTGAAAAATTAGAAGTAATTATATATATACATACGCTCTTTATTGAAATAGTTAATCATATCTTTGTCGAATTGATAGATGGCGCGGAAACGGCGCATGGAAGGATTGGATCCAGAGCCTGATGATGATTCTGTCAAGGGCAAAAAACAAAAAAGAGCTTCTATGACGGGTGATTTGGATGATTATGTATCCGAAGATGATGATGATAACCTTTATGATCTTGATAAAGGAATTAGTTTGAAGGATGGCATGACAATTGACAAAACACAAGACGAAGATACGTCTGATGATGAGGACGGTGAGGACGATGATGATAGTGGTGATGATTATTGTTCGGATCTTGATTTGGAAGCTTCTGACGATAATAACCAAATTTTGGGTGATTATGATAACGAAGCTCCCATCCCAATTGTCGAAGGCGATCATGATGATATTGATTTATCATCTAACGTATTGTCAATGAATTCAAAAAATTTGGATATTAAGCAGGGAATTACTAAAACTAAAAATAAAGGTGAATTAGCATATACTTTTCCTTGCCCAACAACTTTGGAAGAATTCTTAAAAATATTACAGGACGTTGATGATGAGGATGTTCATGTAGTTGTGCATCGAATTCGTGTGTTACATCATATAAAGCTCTCTATAGAAAACAAAGTAAAATTGGAGGTTAGAATTGTACTTGATATTTATCTAATGAAATAATGTGTTCTATAACTATTGACAATGGAATTCTTAATTTGCTTATTATAACGATAAGAGATTCTTTCCGGTACTTATGGATTATGTTCTACATCGTGCGCAAGAAAATTCTATTCCCATACTCCTTATCAATAAACTTGTTGGCCATATTTTTGACCTCACGCAACAAGTGCCAGAAAGCGCTACAGATTATTTTGTGTCCAAGGTTGTTGCCATGGAAAATAACTTGAAAAAAAGATTATCCTCTTCTAGTTTAAAACATTCAAAGTCAATGTTTCCCACCATTCCCGAATTCATCTTATTAAGAATACTGTCCCAAATTTTTCCAACATCGGATTTTCGTCATCCAGTAGTTACCCCTACTTTGTTATTGATTGCACAATATCTGGCACAATGTCCTTTGTCAAATGGTTTAGATTTAGTGTCTGGCTTATTTTTATGCAATTTAATGCATGAAGTAAGACATAATATTACTATTTCTGAATATAGGTATCATTGCATATTTAACTAATGAATAATTGATAATTCATATTTTATAGTATCAAATTTTGTCAAAACGCATTATTCCTGAAGTTCTCAATTTCCTTTTTATTTCTCTTGTACATCTTGCGCCGCAAGACACGTTTAACTCAGTGGAATCGATTCCTGGAATATTTCCATTTTCTGGAAAATTTGTTCCCATTCTTCAAATAAAAAATACAGCCTGTGTTGATGATGCTAGTCCTTTGGATTTTTCTCAATTATTGGGTGTGGTGAACAGAAATGAAAACAATCGCTTAGATGTCTTTGATGATGATATATTTCGGTAATGTTGAAATTAATGACATTTGCTTCGTTTAGAATTGATCGATCACATTGCTCTAAAACTATTTCCTTTATTTATTGTTAGTATATCAGCATTGATAGCTACTCTGCATTTAGTCGAAAATTTTGCAAAAATGTATAGTTCTGCACCTGCATTTGCAGAGCTTTTTAGTTCTGCATTAAAAATTATTGATGCTTACCCACTAGATAAATTCTCCAGAATAATTAAGGTACTTGAATAAATATGTTCATTTCGAGTTTCTTGAAAAAAAATTATATTTAGCTTTTTAACTTGATTTATTTAGACGAAAATATCTTCAATACAAGAAACACTGGAACGATTGCATAAGTTTTCTAAAAAAAGCCGTAAACCCCTGGAATTGCAACATCACCGTCCTATTCCACTTCCTACTTTCACTCCCAAATTTCAAGAAAAGTATGCTTCAAACCATTTATCTTGATATATTCTTGATACAGCCAAATTAATATATTTGTCTTTTTTTCTTAAAGCTTTTCTATTGATAAGCACTATGATCCAGATAAAGAACGAGCTACATTAAATAAACTCAAGGCACAATACAAGAAAGAGCGTAAAGGAGCTATACGAGAATTACGGAAAGATAGTATATATATTGCACACCATAATCTTAAAAAGGTTAAAGAAAAAGATACATTATACAAAAGGAGAATTAATAGTATTATGGGCATCCTTGAAACTGAACAAGGAGAGAAGAAGGCCTATGAAAAAGCCAAGAAGTATGGTAAAATATAAGCTAGTTTTAGGTATTTGTGCTATCCTTTAATTTATATACAACATTATATAGCCAATTATGACAAAAGTTTGTTATTGGCTAATCACTCAATAAAACTAATCCCTATCTAGTGATCTGAATCGTTTAGTTGAAAATCAACTAGTTGACAACATTCCAACTAATCGATTTAGAAAAATTTAAAACAAATCGATTTAATTATCAACTAGTTCAATTACGAGATATTCCGTCTAGTCGGGCTAATCCGTGTTGATTTCTTTTAGTGATCCAAATCGTTAGTTGAAAAATCGCTTAGTTGACAACTTTTCAACTAATCGATTAGTTGACAACTTTTCAACTACTCGTTGGTTGATTATCTACATAATAAATTTAAGAAATATAGAATTTTTTAGCCAATCAGAATGGTTTGAAATAATTTAGAGAACACATGATTATTTATTGTGCCCAATCAAATTTATTGAAAACATGTGACTATTAATTGCAACTCGACAACTAAGTTGACAACTAATCGATTGGAAAAATTTTAATCAACTCGGAACACTAATTTCTTTAGCTTGATTGGCTAATCGATGAATTTAGTCACATGATATAAAAATCGATTAGTTGCAACTAGTGATGCAAACGGCTCGGCTCGGCTTATGGCTTGCATTGACCAAGCTGAGCCGATCTTTCGGCTCCAAAGTCAGAGCCAAGCCGTTTGTAAGCCGATTAACCTTGAGCTGAGCCGAGCCACAAGCCGCTATCCTATATAAGCAAACTATCCAATCAGACACGAACACGAATTCTAATATTTAAATTTGAAAGTTAGCATTCGAAGGCTTTTTTTTGTTTTCTTAACATTACAGCTGTTTTTATAAATTTTGGGATAAATGAACCGCTGGTTATAATCATTTTCGTTTAAATATTGTATAAAAAATAGCATTAAACTAGCATAATTATTTATAAGGCAAAGAAGTTTTAACAGAGTAGTTCTTTAAAATTGAATGAATATCTTCCATATTAGTAAACATCATGCCAATTCGCAGTGCATTACCTTTTTTTTTTTTTTTTTTTTTTTTTAACTTGGCAAGGAAAACCAGTGATTTTTTATTAAATATATTTAGAATATATACATAATTGTTCGAAATATTTTACAACCTATTACTAGGCTATATTAACCTAACACAAAAACCTGACAACATTATCTAGCTGCCCACATGGGTGCCCAGATATATCTTTGTTGCATCACCAGCATGCTATGACCGAGGTCAACACTTGTGGTCAGAGTACCTCCCAACTTTGGAGAGACATTGTATTAAACCACTAAGCCGGTGAAGGAGGATCATACCCGTATTGATGCTACTCCTGTATCCTGAAACTACTATATCTAGCTAAACCTATGTTTTCCGCTTCTACCACCTTGCTTCTGTACAACTCCCAAATTGGTAACATTCAGGTTATAGATCTTTATGATCTTTCAGTTTAGTATGCCATGTTATTGTTTTCTCTAAGGTATTCTGACATTGGTCCAGGATCTGCAGAAACTCGTATCTCAAGCCAGAAACTGCTGCCTAGTTAGATTCACCATATAACAATATTAGTATTTCATTGTCGGGTAACCTCTACCACTTATCTGCCCAGGTATTACTAACCCATATCTCAAGTCAGTTTCTGCTATCGCAGTTCAACCACAGATGCCCCAGGTCTTAATATTATACAGTTACTTGGCACCTTCTTCAGTTCTTCTAAGTACTACCTGCTATGGTGAGTTTAGAACATATTTCACAAGTATCCAGAACAATTCTGGTTATACCCAGGGAGTTCACCAACCCTAGTAATACCATACTACCATATAATACTTGTTCCCAGCATGTTGTCATACAATATTAGGACAATTCCGGTTATTCTTAGAGAATTACACCAACCCCAGTGATGCCATACTATCATTTGTTATTGTAAACTCCAGAGGTTGGTAGATCATAGACTTGTTCGTCATAGACTTTCATATAGGTGCAACTGGAGCCTGATTCGGTACCTTTATATGTACACAGAATGTTAGACAACCTCCATAGTCTTAGCCTTTTATAGTATCTTTATTCTGCTTTGCCAGAGGTGCTTCTGATTCTGGTAAGGCCAATCCTTTACCACAAACCATCCACATGTTCACTACTTTTCTCACCATTTCCAACTTTGGTTATGCCGATCACCCTCTCAAGCAAGTACCTGTATCTTCTTTTCAAATAAGGACTTATTTGCGCAATCTGTTAACCACTCTTCCAAGCAAATATCCCACAAGTTGGATATAGGGATGTTAGTATTGCCAAATTTGAAGATACAAGGATGTTAGTGCTGCCCATCTCTTAAGGACTTATTCGTGCAATCTTCATAGCCGCAGTCTTCTGTAATACCATAGTTACACATAGTGCCAATGCTCCATATTTAGGTCTCCTTCCAGGAATTCCTATTCCAGCTTCATACCTGTACTTGGATTTGGCCACAGGGCTTCACGTTCAATTATGGCCCCCGAAGGTTACAGAAACAAATTATTCAATTTGCTTCCAGCCTGACTTGAACTGTCAATCTTGTTTGTGGGGGTTTGAGAGCTTAACCAATAAGCTACGAGACCCAAACCTGTAGTGCATTACTTGACATCATAGTGGTTTGTTATAACAATAAGTAATTTATGCAAAGAAAATGA